AACCCAATGTGGCACGTTTAACTATGACTAAATTGTGCATTGTGGTTTATGCAGGGGTCGGCAAAGTTATATATAAATCAGCTGTTTTCCACTGGGATATTGGATTTCTCAAGACTGTTACAGAGAAGTGTCAGGAAAGGATTCCAGAGCTAGTTGGATGGGTAAATGAAAATGCTGGTTTAGTTGCTGGCTGCAGCATTTGAGTTTGTCTGTCTCCCTTCTTGTATTGCCTATATACATATATACATATATACATATACATATACATATATATATATATACACACACACATATATATACACACACACACACACACACATACACACACACACACACACACACATATATATATATATATTTAAGATGCCAATGTTGGATCAGGCCAAAGGCCCATCCAGTCCAACAGTCTGTGTCACACAGTGGCCAGAAATACCAGTGCCATCAGGAGATCCACCAGTGGGGCCAGGACATTTCCCCAAGGACCAAGAAGACAGAGCATATTGTGCACACAATTCCTGAAATATCATTCCCCTTCATTTTAATCCTGGACCCTTCTGCACATGATCACTTTGGAATGTTTAAGCCTCAGAGGCACACATGGATAATTCCTTTCACACTCAGGGGACTGTTTGCAAATGAAGCAAGCTAGAGTTGCATCCCTGTTATTTGGATTCTAGGGAAGGCGATGACAAGGCATTAAACAGACACAACCATCTTCTGCATCTCAAGGGGACATATAAAGGTACAGTTCCACCATGTGCTCATATACACACAACCTCTTGCCTTAGAGTTAAGACTAGGGATTCAGACGCTGCAAGGAATATGTGCTGTAGGGTGAAGGACAGCTTGTCCTTGATGTTTAGATACTGACTCAATTACCCAGGAATGTTGATAGAAACACTGTGCATAGCAGAGCATGTAAGCACATATGCAGCTCTGGTTTAGGGTGAATGCAACTGACCATTTAACAAATTGGGAGCCAGTTTGGTGAAGTGGCTAGGTGTGTGGACTCTAATCTGGGAAAACTGGGTTTGATTTCCCACTCCTCCACAGCTGCTGGTGTGCCCCTGGGTCAGTCACAAGTTCTCCCAGAGCTGTTCTCTCACGAGCAGTTCTCAAAAGTTCTCTCAGCCCCACCTACCTTACAGCGTGCCTGTTGTGGGGAGGGGAAGGGAAAGGAGATTGTAAACTGCTCTGGGACTCCTAGTGAGCGGCAGTGTATAAATCCAATTTCTTCTCTTCCTCCTCCTCCTCTTCCTATGGTAGGCAAAAATCACAGGGATCTGTACAATCTTCCTTGGAAAATAATAGTCTGTATTCAGTCTCAGTCCTGCATTAGAAGACACTCAGTGCAATCTTAAACAAAGTTACACCCTTCTCAGCCTGTTCACTTCAGTGGATTAAGAAGGGTATAATTCTTTTCAGGATTGCACTGATAGTGAGACAGCAGTATAAGTGTCTGTAGAGTGCTTTCCATTTAGTATGCAAGAGTTAGTGATACCATTAGCCCTAAAAATAAAAAAAAAGTATACTAAAGTATCACTACAGAATAAAAACCTGAAAATCAACAATACTTGTGTAGTTATACCGTATAAAGGTAACTCAGTTACCTGAATTGCATCGGAATCAATTGCAAGATGATCAAAATACATGCAATGTTTTGTTCTAGCCAGAACTGAAATGGCTACATGTTGGGTCACCTTCATATTTTCATTAGCCACTAAAAACAAACAATTTTCCAACAAATTGGAGCCAACGGAACTGATCCTATAACAGAGAAGGAAGACATTTTCATTGCACATTTTAAGAGGACAACTAAGGCCCCGTTCACATGGAGCATTTGCCACGCTAAAGATACAGATGATAGGTGGATTTTCTGGGCGCGATCACACCGCAACATCTGGGAAGTGTAGTGCACCCATGGCTAACCCATGGCTTCATGCTGAAGATACGGAGTAAAAAACTAGTACTTACGATGTACTAGTTTCCGGAAAATGCAGGGCAAGGGCGGGCGTCTGATCGCGTCCCATCCTAGTCCCGTCCCAAACTGGTGAGGGTTTTTTTAAGTCTTCACAGGATGCGCACAAACGATCATGCACATGCTCACCTTTTGGTGAGGAAAAAGAAATCCCGTTTGCCACGGAAGCGGTGCCTGGCGATTGCTGGTGTGATCACGCAGTGCTGCTTCTTTGCCGTGCTGCAGGATAGCCATGTAATCGGCACCTCACGCCCTAACCACGGGACCTCGATGGGACGTGTGATCAGGCAGCCATGCATTATTTTGCTCTGGGGTAAACAGCCATGTTTCCCCCCCGCATTTTCCGACCTGTGTGACCAGAGCCTAAGCAAGTAATGTGTATATCCTCTGAGACTCCCTCTTCACATGTACAGAGACAAAAATGGTTTCCCCGTGTTTCCCAGCAAAAGATTGCAGAAGGCATTTGTTGTAGTCTTAATAAAGTAAGTGGAGTCATTGCTGAAAATCTAGTTGTATCACCCAAAGATTTATCATAGTGTTGTTATACTTGATCATTGAATTTCCAGGGTGTTGTATCTGCATTTGGAGCAGCAGAAAGGCCACACTGGGGGAATGTTTTTCAGTTCCATTTTAAACTAACTTTTTATAGCCAAAATCTTAACCCCTGTAAGATAATTTTCTGAGAAAGGGTGCTTATATATTATTGGATATGCATTTGGAGTAGAGCTTGTGGAGTGGGACTTTCCCAACTTCTTTGCCAACCAACTGAGCTCCCTGAAACATTTCTGGGTCACCAAGTCCTGGACAGCATAGGAACAGTGATGGATAAAAGTGGAAGGAAGAAAACTGATGAGCAGAAATGAGTGTGCAGGGGGGGGGGAGCAAAGTAAAAATCTGCGGCAGGACTAGGATTGCCAGGTTCCCCCTGGCCACCGGTGGGGAATTGGGGGGTTGTAGGGTTGTCAGATCCAGGTTGGGATACTCCTGGAGATTTGTGGGTGGGGCTTGTGGAGGACAGGGACCTCAGTGGGGTACAATTCCATAGAGTCCACCCTCCAAAACATCAGTTTTCTCCAAGGGAACTGATCTCTGTAGTCTGGAGGTGAGCTGTAATTCTGGGAGATCCCCAGGTACCACCTGGAGGCTAAGAAAACAAAACACACTGTGAAAAAACAATTTCTAGGAATTGTATATAAAGACTTCTGCAAACTTATTTGTCTGATAATTATTTTAAAGTTAAATACAATATTATAAGAGAAGAAAACTTTATAAAGCGGAACTTTGAACATATGTGTACATGTCTTATGAAAAAAATCTTAAACATAACATATATGTGTACCATATCAAAGGACAAAAGACAAGGCACAACAAAATGCAGAACAGAATACAAGTCAAACAAGGTTGCTTAACAACATACAAAACAACTCAAAGAAAAGTTCAGGCACCGGGATGACTTGTGCTTTCTGTTCTTTTGGCAAGCAATGATTTAAACTTTCTGTGGATATGACTTTCTAACAAACTATCGTGTCTCCCAGGTAAGGTCATATTTCCAATCTTTATTAGAGTCAAGGATAAGGATTTTCATATGGAGCTCCCAAACATCATGAAAACTCACACCAGTTCCCATACATGAGGAGCAAGCTGCTTCAAACTCAGAAGGGCCATTTAACAAACAGGGGAAAGCACTGGCGTCTTGATGGGGTGGTGGTGGAAATCCTCTCAGTCCTACTGGGTTAGCCATACTATAAAAGTCTGAAACTTCTGGAGCCAAATGTGGCTCAGTAGGATGGCTCCTTAAGAAAAGAAAATGAAACATTAAATTTAAGGTATAAGGAAGCAGTGGGTAGGATGTTAGAATAACCAGTATGTGAAGGGAATGACAGGCAAGGATTTTTAATGAGACTAAGAGCTTCTTAAGAGATGCTCTATGGAAAGAGAAATAATAGAAGTGAACAGCTGCCAAAAATCCAAGGGCAAACCATGCCCTTTCATTCAAACAGTGCAAGTGTTATGCCAGTGCACTAAAACAATTGCTTAGAGTGCTCCTGTGTATATTTACTACTTATTTCTGAGAACTTCTGTACGTCCCTTCCTTAAAAATTACTCACAACGAACAGTGTTTGGGCTACAGAAGTTTTATGGATTATTAATCAACCTGTCAATTTTCAGTTATATTAAGTTGTCTGTTTCAGTTATGCAAGTGGACTTTCTTATACTGGCTCTTTGTGGATCTCTTGCTCTGGATTTTGAGATAGTTTATCTCTTTAAGAATAAAAGTTTGCTGACCCCTGCTACAAAATAAGCAAAAAAATCTTTTGTGGAATTAGGGCTTGGGTTGAGCCTCAGTCCTCTTATAAACCTATGTGACTTTAATTTCTATAGCAATTAGCCTCTATAGTTGAATCTGTGGTTCTGTTTCCCAGGAGGCTTCAGGAGGACTCTGCTAAGTGCTGTGGCCTTCGGGTACAGATAACTCTGTACATGCCTTTTCGCCTCACTTGACTTTTGCCTTCTGGGCATGTTTATACATTGCAGAGGTTAGGAGTCACTATCAAATTCTAAATAGAGTATCTGTAACTAGCTTCTTTGACCCTAGCTTAACCCTGACTTTCCTTGACTGTCCTGACCCCAGAGATAGAACTTTGTCGTGTATGTCAGAGATGTATGTCAAGTGCTCATCACAGACTTGACTGACAGTTGCATTAGCCCTTATCGTTGGAAAAGGGTACTTAATGTCTGAATTTAGTTTTGTTCCTGGTTGTTCTGGCCAACCACCCTTACGTTATGGGTCTTGACAGAGCAACCAGGGATATCCTTTATAGAAGCTTACTGCACCCTTAATTTCCCCAACACTTTACCTTCGTAATGCTGTGGAATCCAGCTGAAAATTGGCAATATGTATATTTGGGGGGCCCTTCTTAACCCTTCCCTGAGGGTCCCAGGCTGAGGGAATTCCTCTGTGATTTCATGGTAAGAGGTCTGCAATACCACTGACTGTTTGGTATAATTCTGCTTTATCCAGAACATCCCAAGATCCGATTGCCACGCTACTTGAGGCAGGTATATATGAGGACTGTGGGACAGACGCTGAACCTGCTGATTCCTTTCCGGGTAAGTGGATAATGTTTCCAGTTAATGGCTGGTTGTAATTTGGACACTGTTTGAGAAAAGCTTTTTCATAGTAGTTAAGAAACTAATGAAGGAGAAAGAGAGAGACAACAACAGAAAAGATGCAGACTTTTAGCGAAGTCCTAGGTGGGCTTCTTCAGGCATAACATCTCAGGTGTTGAGGCAAGATGACTGATCACTGTGACCAACGTAAAATGGGGATTTGTTGAAGTTCTGAAAAGAAATCCAACTAGCTGGCCCCAGATGTCAAGTGAGAGAGAGGAGGCATAAAAGGAAATGTTGGTGCTTGAGAAGATATTCATACCTGTAAAAGCAAGGGCTGTAAACAGTTCTGCAAAAGCTACTGAATTTGAGAGTGTACTATGTGAATGATCCCAAGCAGTGTGTGACGAACACAAATATTTCAGAAAGGCAAGTAAATACAACATGCAAGTAATACAACATCTGTCACCATCCTAATTTCAGGAGACAGACAAAGATGGGTAGCCATGTTAGTCTCTCTGTAGCAGTAGAAAAGAGCAAGAATATCCCCTGACTCAAATTTTGTTAGCCTTTAAGGTGCTGCTGGACACCCAAAACACTGTTTAAAACATGTCATATTTGAATTACCTCAGCACTGTGTTCTGACAGTTTCTTTTAAAATCTTCTGATTTAAAGACCACTTGCAAAACAAGCTTCTTTGACAGTGTAATCAAGTCTGTTATGTATGTTCAGAAGGCAGAGGCGATATGCTTCAGTCTAACTCTCAGGGACTGGGGCCCGGAGCCTAAAATAACTCCCTGTCAAAAATAGCAAGCCATATGGCTTACAGTATGGTATGGAACTGATAGCAGTCCGTGCTTTTCCTTGGTTCTAGGGTAGATGCATTTGTAGACAGAGGCTACTGTGAATCTATACCCCTTCCTTAAAGAGGCAGCTGCCAGAAGCGTCTTTGAAACACATTCATGCTGGTAATCCACAAGGGTCCTATGAAAGGGTGTTGATAAAATGCAGCCCCCTTTGCTAGGATGGAAATATGCCTGCTGTTCAAGGCATCTAGGATATGGGTGGTGTTAAAATAAATAAGTGTCTGCAACTGTCCTCCCTTGGTGAATAAGAATCTGAAAAACGTAGGGTTGTTGGGGGTTTTTTTGTGCTTCATAGCTAAGTCACAACAAGAATCTCAGAGCAATAGTGGGTAAAGTTTTTGCTGCCAAACAGGAGTGGCACTGACAAATGGAGTCTTATCCAACGAGTTCTTCAGTCTTTAGGACAAAAAAAAATTGTGCACTCTTATAAATCAATCTGGTTTAGGGTGGAACTGGAGTTCTATTGTTATTCTAAATTACTTATCTTTGTTTTTCAAGTGCAAAATATGGGGCTGGTTTTAGGAAGGAGAGAGGGGGTTAATGGGAGGGCTTTTAGCTCTTTCCTTCGCTGCCATTATCCCACTGGGGAAAAACCCACCCTGAGCCATTTATATCCCCACGGGGGTGGGGTGGGGGGAGTCTGCTAGTAAAACTAACATCCCCCTTCCAGGAAGCAGCCCAACTATGGGGATTTGGAGAAAGTACATATAGAGCTGGATGCAAAGTTGAGTTTCTGTTAGTGGAATGGAGTTTTTCTTTCTCTCTCCTTTTGCTGCAGCCCTATCACCTCTCTAGAATGGTCTCTTGTCCCCCAGGAGAAGCATTTTGGGGAGATCAGTGGCAACAGGAAGAGTGGAGGCAGGAAAATTCTATTCCTTTGATGGAAATGCTTTCCATTAACAGGGAAAAAAATTAGTCTGGATCCAACTCAAAGTCTTTTAAAATGATCAAGGAACTAAAAGTAATGTGTAGTTCTGCCTTGAGATCTGCCATATAAGACAGCTTCTAAATTCTTACTCCAGACATCTTTTTCACTAGTGTTTTACTCTGGACCATCATGCAAGACTAACAGATACCCATTCTAAGCAGCAGTCGCCAGATAAACAGAACACTACTGAATTTTACCATTATCTTCCCGTGGACCTTCCTTAGGGAAAGCCAAAGCCACAGGTGACCTGGACCAAAGGAGGCCAGCCCCTGGATGCCAAGCGAGTGAATGTGCGCAACTCCGAAAAGGATTCCATTTTCTTCATCCGCCAAGTACAACGTAGTGATTCTGGGAAATATGAAATAGTTGTTAAGATCTTAGATGAGTTAGAAGACAAGGCCACCATTGATCTCCTTGTGATTGGTAAGGACTGCAGCAATGTTAACCGTGTAAAGCACGGTTCCCCAACATGGTGCCCATGACCACCGTCTCTCAGAATTCCAGAAGTGTCCACAAGCTCAAAAAAGGTTGGGGACTCCTGATCTAAAGGGTGATGAGCTCAGTGGCAAAAGTCCCCAGAATATCCTTTCACATTTGGTACTTAACTGGACCGGGTATGACTGAACATTGGATCTTATAATGTCAGGAAGTTGTTTACAGTGATGACTCCTTTGGTAGGGGATTATATAATTAGGTGGGAGGAAGGTATTGTGCAAAAGACATTAAAGGGTTTGTTTCCAGCATGAAGGCTACAGCAAAGTAAAGTGGCAGAAAATGGGATTTAGGGAGCAGCTCATCACAAGCAAGGACTATATTGTAGCTTCCCTCCTTCGGCTTCATGGCTGCTGCACATGTTGTCTGGTGCCTTCTGCTGCATTGCTCTAGTCTACCCTGTGTACTAATAGCATTGCTGTGATGATGCTTTGACAATACAATATCTACCTTGTGTGTCTCCTTTTCAGAGAGACCCGGCCCTCCTGAGAACCTGAAGCTGGTGGACGTGTGGGGCTTTAATGTAGCACTGGAATGGAGCCCACCCAAAGATAATGGCAATGCTGATCTGAAAGGCTACACAGTCCAAAAGTCAGATATGAAGACTAAGGTGGGGCTGTGGCTCAGTGGTAGAGCATCTGCTTTGCATGCAGAAGGCCCCTGGTTCAGTTTCCGGCATCGCCGGTGTAGAAAGATCAAGCAGTACATGATGTGAAAGGCCTCTACCGTGGGCCATGGACAGCTGCTGCCAGCCAGAGTAGATCACACTGACCTTGATAGACCAATATTTTTACTCAATGTAAGGCAGTTGGGAACCGAGAGGGACACAGCCCAGAAAATGGGGCAGACTGGGAATTGCAAGAATTGACCATTGTCCCAGCCCATGTTTTATTAGCTAAACTCAATCTAAAATCTGTGACCCAGCACAGAAGGACCAAAAGTGCTGTTGAACCGGCTGACACTCTCACAGGCTTGGAGATTAGATTTGCATCCAAAGCAATGAGGACTGTAGAGATGGGAATAGCTAAGAATGGATGTTGGCTGGCTGAAGTAGTGAGGGCAGCAGAGTAGGCAGCCAGCCTCCAAGTGTGCGGTTGGAACAATAACATTCTCTTCCTGACCCCTTCAGGCATCTGTTCAAAGAATCCTCCCTATTGAATGGCATCTGGGGTGCCGGGTTGCAAGGCGAATGTCACGCAGAGTAGTAATGGCAAGAGCCTTTTGAGCTGAATTTGCAAACAACTGTTGCCTGTTGTGTCAGCAGCAACTGCTGACTCTCTGCAGGCAACGGTGCCCCACGGCATTACAGGCTTGAGCCGTCCAAGGCTTTGTGGGACAGCTTAGGGCATTCGGCAGTTGATACTGTTTGTCTGGGCAAAGGCTCCTGGCATAGCCCTGCTCCTTTCCCTCTCTGGAGGTGACAGAGGGGAGATGCAGTGAAGATGCCAAGCATATGCCGATGGCAGATGCTGAAGAAGCACAGAAAGTTCAAGTTCACTACCACTATGGGGTCCACAGTGCTTGTTTTGAATGCCACTTTGAATTGCTTAATGAAGGCTAGTCTAGAATGAGAGGCATTATTGGAAGGGTGTGGGACAGAACCAGAGCTTCCTTTCTGCTTTTTTGAGTGAAACTTGTATAGAAGCACAGCTTATATATAAGGATCAGAAACTGCCAAAGAAGAACAGATAGCCAAAATTCACCTCACCACCTTCAAGAGAGGATATTGCCAGTATTGGTGCCAGTTTAAAAATTGCCATGAGGCCTGACCCTGATTGGGCCTACTATGTGATCTTGCCCCACCTTTCAAATGCTGAAATAGCCCTTATGACTATTTTGGCACTTGAAAATATGTGTGACGGGGGTGGGAGACAAGAAGGTCACATGGTGTCGCTGTGCCATCATCCCCAGGTAGCAGTTTTTAAACGGCTAAATTCTTGTCTAAAATGGCAGTGGCCACAAGTTGTCCTGTGCTTGCCTGCAATGTGTAGATTGGCTCCTAGAGGAATCTTGATTGTGGCAAGGGGTAGATCAAGGATATGTACACGTTAAAAGGTAAAGGTTCCCTTGCTTGAAAGTCAGTCGAATCCGACTCTAGGGTTGCGGTGTTCATCTCCGTTTCAAAGCTGAAGAGCCAGCTTTGTCCGAAGACGTTTCTGTGGTCATGTGGCCGGCATGACTAAACACCAAGGTGCATGGAATGCTGTTACCTTCACACCGAAGTGGTACCTATTTATCTACTTGCAATGTCTTGCTTTCGAACTGCTGGGTTGGCAGGAGCTGGAACTAGAGATGGGAGCTCACTCTGTCATGCGGCACACTCGGGTCTCGAACTGCTGAACTACCAACCTTCCACAGCCTGCAGTTCAGCGTCTTAACCACTTTAGCCACTGCAGCTCCATGTACATGTTAGGCAACAGCAGAAGAAACTGTAGCTGGCTTAAGAAGCTCTGGCAAAAATAACTGTGGAGGTGTGATGTAGTCAAGGAGACTCAGACTTAGCCTTTATAGATTATCTTTTCAGCCAACACACAAAGAACCAGTGTGGTATAGCGGTTAGAGTGGCAGACTAGAATCTGGAAAACAGGGGTTCAAATCCTAACAGTACTCCCTGGGCAGCCTTGGGGCCTGTCACAGTTTCTCAGCCTAATCTGCTTCACAGGGGTTCTGTGAAGATAAACTGGGGGAAGGAGAACCATGTACATTGTCCTGATTGTTTTGGAGAAGTGACAGAATGAAAATGTACTACAGTAAAAGCTTTCTTATCCAGCACTTGATGATCCAGAATGTCCAGTTAACCGGCATCCCCTAGAGGGCAGGCCTCTCCCTCTCAGCCAACATACCCCTGTATCTTCAGGTACACGGACACCTCACTCCTGTCTCTCCAGCCAGCCAGCTTGATACCTCTGGCTGTTGCTGGGCTTCTGATAGTTGGCACTGTTGGCTGACATCATCCCTGGGTGCCTCCTTTCCCCCTCAGCCTGGCTTGAGATGCTGGGCACCAGCTCTCCCAGAGGGCTCTGGGGCAGCTGCCCTGTTCGACTGCCTGCTGAGTAGGATGGCTCCGTAGCTTGGGGAAATCAGGCAAAGGAGCTGTTGCCATGGCATCCCTGATGGGATGGAGTTTGGTTTGTGCAGATTCCTCTGAGTAGGGGATGGGGCAGAATAATAAGGTTGAGTATCCTGCACGTTTGATTGATTGGCAGCCCCCATTCTCCATGAATGCTGGATAACAAAGCTTTGGCTGTAGTTAGTAAATTATTAAAAATGGAGCCTTCCCAGCCATCTCTTCCTTCTCTGCTATCATAAAATAGGAGAGGAGTGGGGTTATGAGGCTGCAGTACAGACTTTGGTGTCCAGTCCACAAGGACTTCATGGGGATTATTTATTTATTTGATTTATACCCTGCCCTCCCTGCTGAAGCAGGCTCAGGGCAGCTTATAAGGCCATTTGGTAATAAATCATTAAAACAATAATCATAAAACACAGTCATCAAAAATATAAGGTGTTATGTCTGGTAGGATGGCAGGAGGTAATCACTTTGGTGTCCAGTCCACAAGGACTTCATGGGGATTATTTATTTATTTGATTTATACCCTGCCCTCCCTGCTGAAGCAGGCTCAGGGCGGCTTATAAGGCCATTTGGCAATAAATCATTAAAACAATAATAATAAAAACACAGTAATATCAAAAATATAAGGTGCTATGTCTGGTAGGATGGCAGGAGGTAATCTAATGATATCATTAGTATGCATTAAGGCTTAGGGGCTTGAGTCAGAGTTCAGATAAAAGCACTAATATCAGAGGATGTCAAGGATATTGATTGATATACCCTATATTATTTCCAGATTGGACACAGAAAGAATTAATAAGGACTGACCTGGTTCACTAGACCCTGTGAAGGTGTAAGCTAATTGGATTCCATTGTTCCATTGAACATGAGCACAGAACTGATGCATAACCATCCCATGTCAAAAATTCAGTGGAGCAGTTGGGTGATTTTTACACTCTGGACTTAGTGGTCTTATGACATCCCCTCTCCTCCAGATGGTAATGGGTAGTTCAGATACAAAGCTGCTTTTGGGTCTCCCTGCTGAGCCTGCAAGCTTGGTTGTTGGACTTCCACCCCAGAGTCTGGTTCTAACAGCACTACTCCAGCGATAAAATCTTATGGGTTGATTGCCCAACCAGTCTGCAAATTTGTCCTTGTGCCAAAACACCCTTTCTGTTTCTGTTTGATGTAGGGCTGCCGGGTCCTACCTGGCAGCTGGCAGGGGGGATCCTTGGTCCTTTCTGGGATCTTCTGCTGGTTTGTGCAAAGCACGTGCACAATGGTGTCACCCCGAAGTGATGTCATCATATCGCTGGCGGGGGGGGTGATGCTCTAGTTTTTGGACAAAAACTCTATGGTTTGTAGCCAATTTTACCATATAGTTTTGCCCCAGAACTAGAGCGTTGCCACACAACATCAGCGATGTGATGACATCAATGACATCACTTCTGGGTGATGTCATCACATTGCCTTTCGGGCCAGTTGGGAGCGGGATTTCCCCCTGCTGGCCAGGTGGCCGGCAGTGGAGAAGCACTCTGCAAAAGCAGGGGTTCTCCCATCCCTGGTGGGGCTCTGGCAACCCTATCTTGATGTTTGGCAAACACAGGGAGTGACTGAGGAATATAGAGACAGGACTGCAGGTTTCTATAGCTTAGGATGTTATATTTCTCTTTGGGTATCCTATGAGATGCCCTATGCATACCTGAATGAATGTGCACTGTAACTTTGTTGACTTTATATCCTGGTGGAGAAGTTGGATGCATTATAGATCTCATCTGCCCTGAAAGGCTTTGGTTCTATGACAAAATACTCTTACAGGATCCACACCACCATCTGAAGAATAAAATGGCCCCAGAAATACAGAACTTGGCCTTCCCCACTTTAGATAATGGAAGTGAGGAGAGGCAAAAAAAAGCAGCATTAGTCAGAATTATGGAATAGTTGCAATATTTGGTTTATGCATTTTTAAATATTGTAAATTCAATAGAATCCATATGTTTACCAGTAACTCATATAGAAGTTAAAGTAGGTTTTTAAAAATATGAGCTGAACAATTATTATTAAAAAAACAACAACAATGGTCAACCTAAATTATTCCTTACATTTAGTCACATTTAGTCCAACAAAATCTTTCCTTGAGAACATTTTCGCCTCTGATCCTCCATCAGTTGCATTTAGTCCAGAAATGGCAGTAGGTCCACTCAGGATGTCTTTGTAAGAGAGCACTGTTCCTGGGGTCCATTCATCATCCCTCTTCATCTGTTTCTGTAACCCTGCTGAAACCAGTGCCATGGGGGGGGGGGTTTTTCAGCTGCTCAGTGGACATGGGTGCCTCTGTGCATGTATGCGCCCAGATACTCATGGCCATTTCACATGGTAGTATTTTAAAAATTAGCACATGCATGTTTCCATCCCTAGAGTGCAGAATTTTTTTTAGAATTTGGGGGCTCTGAGATTATGAGAGATTATGTTGTAGGACCCTTTTCCAAACAGGTGTGGGGCAACTGCACATTTCATTTAATGTTTTATTAACATTTTAAACAAAGCCCTCTGAGACTGCATATTTTAACAAAGCAGGTGAACGTCTGAACAGTAGTATGGTTATCATGCAGTATGGGGAGTGCATGGGTGAGGGGAGTTGAATTTTCACTCCTCCTCTTCTACATTTTTCTCCTGCCGTCAGTCATATCAGGCATTTTTCTCCCTGTACAGCTCTACTACTGGAGGTGATGCAGGCTGGGAGTAACAGTTCTGTGGAAAATGACTGCAGGATTCTTCTTCCCCCAGCCATGTGCAATGAGTGCCCTGTTCAGTGTAAAAATTAGATCCTCCCCAACTGTATAACCCCACAAAACCACCATGGCTACCCATTATGTAGTTTGGTTTTGACTTCCATCATCCAGTTACATCCCCACTAGTATATTAGTTGTTCATTCATGATAACTAGGGGTTCCATAATTTTTGGCTTGGAAGGTTTTGGCCGTGCTGTCAGTACATTTAGCAAACAGATGTGCTAGTATGAAGGACAGCCCAATGTCCTGCCTTGGATACGTTCATGATTAATGGTTGCTCTTTCCTGCTTTTCAGCAATGGTTCACAGTCCTGGAACACTATAATCGTACCAGCTGCACTGTGTCCGATCTCATCATGGGCAACAGCTACTCCTTCCGGGTCTTCTCAGAGAACCCTTGTGGCCTCAGTGAGAAAGCTGCCGTCACTAAGGATGTAGCACACATCAAAAAAACAGGTGCGAACTCAGTAGGAAGACTACCGATCAGAGTTCCAAACTGTTCCAACCAGCTCCTCCGAGGACCGACAGAGTAAGGGATAGGGAGGCAGGTTATGGAAGCGTAGGAACGTTTCTTCTTATAAAGAAATCAATTAAAAGTGTATAGAGACAGATTTTTTTTCCCCTGAGAGTTGAATGTGCTATGAAAGAGCAACCACTGCTTATGGTGCATTAACCTGCCTTCAGAGCTTTTTGCAAGGGGTTTTTTTTTTTTGCATTGTTTCAAATAAGCTCAATAACTGTGCACTGTTAGAGGAATGCCTCTCAAAGCATTTTCAGCTGTCTTACGCTGCAGACAGACCTAAAAACCCCAAAGAGCTCACATTGCTGCATTCACCAGTGAGCGTGCCTTTGCAATTAAATTGGCTGATACACAACCCGGTGACTCAAACACTGACACCCATCAGCCTTGGCTCTCCCTGTCTGCTTCTTCCTCCATCACCATCTCTGGCTTCACCTTAGGGAATGTGTACCACCTCTGTCTGGGGCCCTTGGCCTTCTCTATTTATCAGTCTATGGGAACTCTATGCCCATGCCTGCTCATCTTCTTGCTGTTTTGGGCCATTACACTTTTGAGTAATAGGAGAAGGTCCAAATTGATCAGAACAAGTGTCTTGGCCAAGATGGAGGAGGTTTAGTCCTTGTTTATCTCTTAATTTACACTGAGATCTGCCCTTTTTTTCTTAGCAATTGTATACAAGCCGGAGAAGTACAACACCCGGGATTTCTCTGAACCTCCAACATTTACCCAGCCTCTGACAGACAGAACTACCACCCGGGGCTACAGCACCCAACTTGTCTGCTCTGTGCGAGGCTTCCCTAGAGTGAGTATTGTTGTCGATTGGAAGGTCACTGAGAAAAATTACCCAGAGTGGGTACAGGAAGAGAGGTCTGATGACATCATCATGAAGTGGAGGGTGAGTGTGGCTCCTGCTCCCAGGAGTGCACACTGAGTTGTACTGCAGGGAGATGCTTCTGGGTTGTCATCCAAAACACCTCCTTCTGAGAACTTTTATGCCACTTGTGTTTGCTCATAGAGACATTTGTACACTGGACCAGTGTTCCCTCTAAGCTGAGTTAGTGTGAGCTAGCTCACAGGACTCCACAGCTTAGAGGGAGCATTGCATTGGACACATTTCATTAGGAATGTGGCTCATTTTTCAGGTAATATTCTGAATATAAGAAAGAAAACCCTCCTTCTGTTGCCTCGCAATCCAGTGCTACTGGCTCTACACCCATTTTAAGGAATGCCCCCAGTCTGAGCAGTGACCACGTAACTGGTTATAAGGGACCTGTTGACTGAGAATCTGGATAGAATCTGGATGGAAACAGAGTTTGTCAAGGGACATACTACAGGGTATTTCAATCTGTGACAGCCCTGAGAAGTTTCTGGGTTGGCAACTGGCAGTGTAATAAAGTAGTCCTAGTTTGGGCAAAACTACCTGTGATGCTGGGAGTTCTGTGATAAGATATCCTGTCATCGTCCCCCCCCCCTTTAAACAGCAGTGCTCTGGGCTCTGATTTGAATCAGAACTGAAGTGGTTAACATGTTAGCTCAGTGACATTTTCCTCATCTGAAACAACTCTACAGGGCTGCTGTTTGCCTCTGTTGGGGCAAACATACAGTCAGTATACAGAATTACCTGTATGTTTGCCCTAAAGGGGCAGATTGTACCCACAGAGCCACTTCAGGTCAGGAAAATGGCACATGGAGAACCAGTTAATTCCACCACTGTTCCCAGTTCCAACCTGAAATGGAACTCTGTATGGCTGCCATTTAAAAAGAAATGCACACACTTGGAAAACAGCTTGTGGATGGAAGTATCGGTTCAACATCTAGTTTTGGCATTCGCTTACAGTCAAGAGGCTAGAAAAGTAATGAAAGGCAGAGGTCAAGAAATCAAAGCAGCCGCCTACCATGAGCACCCCTTCCATTTTTTGGAGATGTCTATTTAGTCCTGCTAATCAACTGCTTTTAACTGTGCTTCAGCCCAAAGTGACCTGGATGAAAAATCAAATGGAGATTCGAGAAGACCCTAAGTATGTGGCCCTCATGAACCAAGGTGTGTGCTCCCTGGAAATCCGCAAGCCCAGCCCTTTTGATGGTGGTGTCTACACCTGCAAAGCTGTGAACCCCTTGGGGGAAGCCTCTGTGGACTGCAGGCTGAACGTCAAAGGTATGTAACCAATGCCTGGACTCCGCCCTGTCTGTCCAGAAGATGAATGTTGTGGACTGCCCTGTTCTAAAGCAATTGCAAAGGTTTTCAACAGGAATTAAGTGGTGATTGAATTTCACTCAGAGTTGGAATCCTTTGTACCTTCTGTCTCTGAGAGTAGCCAATCCATAATCATGAAATAAAATAACTTTGAGTTTCAATCCCCTGGAGAGTAATGAATGTCAGGAAAGGTGTGTTTATCAAATACTGCTCAAGTCTGGAACTCGGTTTGGGGGAGAACGGGGTGGGGGGAGACATTGTGCAGTGTCATGATATAGAGTTGCCAACACCAGACTGGGAAATTCCTGGAGATTTGGAGGTACAGCAAGGGAGGGTATGGTTTGGGAAGGAGAGGGACCTCCGTGGGGTATAATGCTATATAGTCTACCCTCCAGGGCAGCCACTTCCTCCAGGGGAACTGATCTCTGTAGTCTGAAGTTCAGCTATAATTATGGGAGATCTCCAGGCCCCACCTGGAGGTTGGCAAGCATGATGTCATTTCCAGGCAACAAAATAGAAGTGAAGTCTCCACTTTACACAATGCTGTAGGAATCCTATTGATGCCATTTCCAGGCAACAGAATAGAAGTGAAGTCACCACTTTACACATACACATACATACATAGACCTTTATTGACATAACACACTTTACACAATGCTGTAGGAATCCTATGGTAAACTATAGAGATCAGGAGTATTCTTAGAGCTTTGTGGTGCAATGTGGTGGTGTCACTTCAGGTTTTATAGCCGGGAATGATGTCGTGCAAGGCCACTGATGCCTGTCTCTGCCTCCCCCCACCCCAATTCTCCATGGGTTGCCAGCTAAGGGCTGGCAGCCCTGTCTCCAGTTATTCTAGAAAAAAAATGGCTTTATAAATCAATCAAAAAATAAAAGTGGGAGGAACCATCTAAAATGGCCTGATGAAGACTGAGCATGCTCTAGGAGGCACAGAATACTGGGAGCAACTGAATCAGCTAAACAGGAAGACACTGAGGAAGAACGGGAAATTAGCCTGCTTGCAGAATCCTATATGGGGTGATTATTTATTTATTTAAAATATTTATATCCTGCCAAGATTGCTAACAAAGCCACACCAGTTGCAAGGACACACAAACAACATAGCAATCCTTTCATGAGGTGAAAATAACACACAGGCTACATATTCACAGGCCAAAACAGAGCCAAAAATGTCTGAATAGTTTATCTCCCCTCGCAATTCCTTGAGGCCCCCCTCTGTTCGTTTCCTCTACTATCAGACTTCACACTCAAGTACCTGCCACAGAGGCAGTGAAAGAGACCTGCCTGCAGAGAAGGCCAGGGTTTCTGCATATTTGGTGGAGACTCCCTAGGTATTTTTAAAGTACAAAGAAAACAGTGCCTGCTCACAAAAACCCAGCCTGATAATAACCTCAGTTTGAGCATGATCATCGCCCTCAGAATATTGATCTGAGAGAGGGGGAAGTAGAGACACTGAACAAAGGAAGATGTGGAACTTTGACCAAGTTATGCCTCTGAGGCCCCCAGCTTGTAAATCATTCATAATAATAACAATCCTTTACAGCAGGACTTTGGCGTGTTCAAAGCACTTTACATACCTTATTTTTTGTAATCATTAAAATATGTTTTAAAGCATGCCCCTATTATTTTGCCTCTACTACATAGACAGAATGCCTGTGCATTGCCTGAGGACACCTGGTGACTAGCAGAGGCAAGATGCAAGCCGGAGCCATCCTCCGGACCCGTAGCTTCCTCTGCTGCCCACCAGCACGATGGCCTTGGGGTTCTGAAACTAGAGGAAAGTGGCTTTTGCTTAAACATGGGGGGGGGACTGCCTATAGGTGGCAGCAGCAGTGTAAACAGCGCTACAAAACAGATTGTGAAATCTCTTCCTCAGAGGTTTTGGGAAGACTTTGTAAGGCATTAGTAGATGATGCTTTAAGTTTCTGTTTGCCTCTGCGCCAGGATTCCCTGTAGCTACAGGTCCCAAATCAACTCTGCAGCTAAAACAGAGAGAGAGATAGAGAAGAAGAAGATGAGATTGGATTTATACCCCGCCCTTCACTACCCAAAGGTGTTTTAGAGCGGCTTACAAACTCCTTTCCCTTCCCCTCCCCCTCCCCCTTCCCACAACAGACACCCTGTGAGGTAGGTGGGGCTGAGAGAGCTCTTGACAGAAACTGCTCTTTTTTCAAGAACAGCTCTTATCAGAACTACGGCTTGCCGAAGATCATCCAGCCAGGTGCAAGTGGAGGAGAGTGGAATCAAACCTGGTTCTCCCAGATTAGAGTCCACGCACTGAGAGAGAGAGAGACAGAGAGAGAGAGAAAGAGAATGTCTTTCCACTAGCAGACCTGGCAATCGAAATGATAAAGCACTACACATTACTCCCTGATCATGTTTCCAGACTCTGGAATCCTGCAGCCCTGTAGCATTTCACTAATAGGATCCTTTTAAGCTGAACTCTGCAGCTGAGATATTAATTTCTCCATGACTCTATTAATGGCAGAGAGCCTCCTGCAAGGCAGGTTGACTGGCCTTCTGCATCTACAGCAGTCGCATCTCAGCTGAATGGCTGTAATTTATTGCTTGCATGAGGCTTTCCTGCTCACATTTCCTTGCTTCAGCAAAGAAGTACCCAACTTCCCCCAGACTGGCGAAGGCATGGCTTCCTGAGCAAAGCAAAACACTGAAACACAGAGGAAGATCTGCTGTTCTCACTGCAAAAACCCGACCCAACCTACAGTCCATGCAGAGCCCAAGCTTGCAAGTTACCTGCATGGTGAAGTCCCTGAGATTAGAGAGCAACTGGTATTTCACACTTTGCTGTTAACAGCTGGCATTATGGGATTCCTGTTCCCATGCAAGCAGCCATAGCCTATTAGTTCCAAACTGCCCTGTGGCAGGGAACACTCTGATCTTGTTGGGGTGTGAGTCATGTCATGTATCAAACACATTTGGCATGTACCCAGTAAGATTGCCAGCGTTCCCAGAAAAGGCATGGGGGAGGGGGGAAGCTGACTGCTTTTGATTTGCACGACTTTATTTGATTCAATATATTGCACTTTAAAGGCAAGAACCCAAATAATTCAAAAACATTTTGTTTATTGGGCCAACTCAATTGACAAGATAGTGTAAACAAGCTTTTGAAATACAAGCTGGTGTTTTCCTGCCCCAACAGAATCTGGTGTATCTTGAAAGCTTCTTTAACTATGCAAATAAGTCCAGTTGTTCAAAACAGTTGGAGAGGTTCAGGTGGGTAATCAGCAGAACAAAGTTTGAGTCCTGTGGCTCCTTTAAGATCAACAAAGTTTTATTCACAGTATAAGCTTTTGTGTGCAAAGCACACTTCCTCAGATACTGTGAAACAGAATTTCCTTTATCTGTATGTCAGTTTGCTGCCATCCACAGGTCTTACCAAATGTGTTATTCCAATCTTAGCCGTATTTACTGCTCAGGTACTTACGTTAACTCTTTTATTATCTGTATGCTAATTTGCTGCCATCCACAGGTCTTACCAAATGCATTATTCCGATCTTAACTGTATTTGTTGCTCAATTACTTATGCGTCTTGACTCCAATTAGCCCTTCCTGGCAACTACCCCCCACCTATATGTAATGTTTGAGGAAATCTGTTTCAGTGTATCTGAAGGTGTGTGCATGCTAAGTCTCTCAGTTCTTGCTGATACCATTTATACACATTTGTTTATTAACTCTTGTATTTGTATGCTAATTTACTGCTATTCACAGATTTTACCACCTGCCTTAATCCAGTCTCAGCTATAATTACCCATTTACTTATGCATCTTGATTCTGACTAGCCCTTCCTGGCAACTAAATCCCACCCCCCTTGCACCTATATATAATGGTTGAAGAAGTTTTGTTTCACTGTATCTGAAGAAGTGTGGGTGCACCCAAAAGCTTATACCTTGAATAAAGATTCTCCCTCCATTTTTCTTTCCCTTTTGTGACTAAGCCACCCTAGTTATCTGTTTTCTTCTTTCCTGAAGAATTCTGGCTAGCCCACCCTGTCACAGCATAATATTTTGGCTGTTTGCTCAGCCCAGGAATTCTGAGCAAAGCAATGGGAGCCCCCTTTAACTTATACGACTTAAACAGCACTCAAGAAGTTTTTATATTCCAAATGAAATTATTTTTTATCTAACATAGAGGGGAAAGGTCAGGTGAAATTAGGGGTAAAATTTCGGAAGTAATTCAAAATAGATAACTCTGAGGTAAAAATCAATACATGCACAGACTTTAGTTCTTATGTTTCAGGTTAATGAGAGGCAGGGTATAAATCAAATCTCTTCTCTTCTCTCTCTTATTAAGCTTTTCACAGTGACTTAAATCTTTATGTTGAGAGGCTTTTGTTCCAGTATTTTCCACAAACACTTCAGTATACTTTCTTTGAGTATTCTCTATCCAGTTTCGTGTAGTGGTTAAGTGTGCGGGTTTTAATCTGGGAGAGCCGGGTTTGATTCCCCACTCCTCCACTTGCACCTGCTGGATGATCTTGGGCAAGCCATAGTTCTGGCACAGCTGTTCTTGAAAAGAGCAGTTTTTGTAAGAGCTCTCTCAGCCCCACCTACCTCACAGGGTGTCTGTTGTGGAGAGGGGAAGGGAAAGGAGTTTGTAAACTGCTCTGAGACTCCTTTGGGTAGTGAAGGGCAGGGTATAAATCCAATCTCTTCTTCTTCTTCTCCTCCTCCTCCTCTTTTGGTTTCCATAGGGCTGGTACACTTTTTCCAGTACCCAATCCCCTTCTCTTGAAACACCAGTACTCGTCGTGAGTTTTTAACTGACTCTTAAGGTCTCTCAAGGCAGTTTCTAACTACACCAGACAAGGGATCTCTGCAATCTTCAGAGCTAACTCCCTGTTTGATTGGGTAGGGAACTTTCTTCTCTCTCTAGAAGATCTATCCCCTTTTCTTGGCCTGAATGGGTGTCTCCATCTAGCTATCCACTGGTCCTTGCCAACTTTCCTCAGTTCTCCTGTCTGTGTTAAACTGCTCTCAGTCAGGATTGAATTCCGAAACTGTAGGTACTCAATTCTTCTCAGCTAGGGCTGAAATCAGACTCAACTCAGGCAAGGCAGAAATCTGTCTCCTCAGCATGCAGCTCTAAAGTCTTTTTCTGCTTAGCTGATGCTAACTAATCAGCACGGCCAGCCCGTCATAGATAATTTTTAGGCAGTGGCCTAGAGTAGCCCCTTAAGAGGGGGTGCCCCCTTGCCTACCGCCCCGCCCCTCTCACCTAAACAGGGTAGTAAATCACAGACCACTGCCCACCGTTCCATGAAGGCGGCCTGCTTGCCCAAGGGGAGCTGAAAGTGCCATGGGGAGCAGCCTGGAACCAGCCCAGCCCGTGGCTGCTGACGGGGGCGCTTCGCTTCGCAATCACAGGCCACCCTCTCACCCCTGTGCCTCCGGCCAGCTGGTGGGGAGGACTCCTGGCGCACCTGCCTTCACTGTCTTCTTCCGCTGGCTGGTGGGACCCAGGGCGCCTGCGCTCTGCCCGCTGCCGCCGCCCCGGGCTCTATCTGCGCCACCTCCCTCCACCTGCCCAAGCCGGCCCAACCTGGCGGCTGACCTGCTATCTGCCCTCTCAGTGGTGGTGAAGGCCGGGTCGGGCACATGCAACGGGCACTGGCGGCTCCCTGTGGCCAAGGAGCAGCTTTCCAGAACTGAGGGCTTAGGGTTGCCAGCCTGCAGGTGGGACCTGGAGACACTCCCCTCCGGCATTACAGAGATCAGTTCCCCTTGAGGAAAGGCATGCATTGGACTCAGCTGAGCTGCCTCCTCCCCAAACTCTGCCTTCGCCAGACTTCCCCCCTCCCCCAGTCCCCAGGAGTTTTCTAACTCATAGTTGGCAACCCTGTTTACACTCCAGGCACTGGAGGAAGCCAGGAACTCCTGGCTTTGTTAATGGCCCTGTTATTGATTCATTGGTGTTTTTATGTTTATTGATTGTATTACTGTGCTAATTGTTACTGTAGAACCAGATCAGGAGCAAAGACACTGGGATTGTGGGCTTTCGAACCCCTAAAGGGTTCTTCCTAAAATGCATTTATGTTTGAAAATTGGTGGGTGGAAGGGGGGGGGGTGCCAGAAGGTAGCCCCGCCTAGTGTGCAAAAAAAACTGAAGCCAGCCCTGCTAATCAGATTGCTTGGAGCAGCCTGTCGTTCAAGGCTCTCTCTTTCTGTGAAGAATTAACCATTCACAGTCCTTCAGCGTTTGTACAGCACGTCTAAGCTTTTAAAAGTTCAGTCTGTCACAGTAGCCTTCCATAGAAGTACTTCCTTCACAGAGAGAACTAGTGGGCCAAGGAGAAGGCTAGGATAGAAGGTGACTGAATTGAGAAATAGGCATACCCCCTTTCTGCTGTTTGTGAGAACTGGGTCAAACTCTAATAAGAGCCAAAGTGAGCATCAGTTAGGGGTCTTCTCTGTCTGTGGTTAGATTCAACAGGGACCTTTTCTACATACATATTTTGCCCTATCTTGGTTTTTCTTCCAGCAGTGCTGTTTTCAGGAGAAGCATCCACGTGATGACATCCTCTGAGCATATTCTATTTCAGTGTGTCCCCCTTCCCTTTGCTGTGATCTTTCCGAAACCTGGTTTGTTACAATATTTTTGGAAAGATCAGTCAAAGTGCCTTTGCACACCATCTGGATGGGAAAGTGCAGTTTTGCAAGCCCTGCCGACGTCAGCACCATTCTGCATACTTCAGCCCCACAGCTCTGCCCTTCCCTGCTTCTCCAACAGAGGGATTTTATTAGGCTTTTTAAAAATGGTAAGAGATAGACTGCTATAGCACAGTTTATAAAAATCTTTTGCAACAGTGTCAAACTGCCCGAACTATCATAAATTTACTGCATAATTGCAATATATTGTTATAAGATTATTGCACTATAGTGATCTGTCAATTACCTTTTTTTTTTTTGAAAGCCTGAAAAAAGCCCTCTGGGGTATAAATGGGGGAAATGATAGCGGGGTGTGTGTGTGTGGTTGCTTTGTTACCATTGCAAATGCCTCTGAATGACCACTAGTAACACAGGCAAGCCAGAAGGTAATCCTAGAACTGGCAAAAGTTCTTCAGTGTTTGCTGATGCACCAAATGCACTAGGAGAGGAAATATCCAATGCATAAAACAATCTCCATTCACACTGAAGAGATGAAACAGAGTATAGCCAGTTGGAAGCATCTATGAAACAACAACTTTTAAAGTGTAAAAAGGTAAAGGTTTCCCTTGCTCGAAAGCCAGACAAATCCGACTCTGGGGGGCAGGACTCATCTCAGTTTCCAAGCCGAAGAGCCAGCGCTGTCCGAAGACGTTTCCGTGGTCATGTGGCCGGCATGACTAAACATCAAGGCACACAGAACACTGTTACCTTCCCACCAAAGCAGTACCTATTTATCTACTTGCAATTTCTTGCTTTTGAACTGCTAGGTTGGCAGGAGCTGGGGCTAGAGACAGGAGCTCACTCCATCACGCGGCACTCGGGTCTCGAACTGCTGAACGACAGACCAGAAGGTCTGCAACTCAGTGTCTTAGCCTCTGAGCCACCACACCCCTTTTAAAGTGTACTGTGGTTTAAATATAGCACACCATCTATAAACACCTCCCTGAAAGCAGCTATCTGGTACATTTTGCACTTGTGGGGGATTTAAAGGAACATTTTTACAAGCATGAAGCACGTTGCAAAGGAGCCAGCTGAAGTTCTGGCTGATAGGATGCTATTCTAGCCTTTTTTCTTTCTGAGAGGGATAACTTGCGCTTCCAGTAATGTTGCCAAATGTGCAGTGCACACATGAACATACATGAAGCTGTCCTATACTGAATCAGACCATTGGTCTATCAGGGTCAGTAAATACTAACTACCAAGAATGGCCGTGGTTCTTCAGGGTCTCAGGCAGATGTCTTTCATATCACATCACATATTACCTGATCCTTTTATAGCTGGAGGTGTCAAGGAATGAGGTAAAGGTAGTGGGATGTGGTGCTCATCTCCATTTCTAAGCCGAAGAGCCAGCGCTGTCAGTCATGTGGCCGGCATGACTAGATGCCAAGGCGCACGGAACACTGTCAAGGAATGAACCTACATGCAAAGAAGTTCTGCCACTGAGCCACAGCCTCACCCCAAGGCACAGCTCCTCCCTTATGTCATATGAAGGAATACATGAGTTCTGCTTTCCCATATGGGCTGTAATCTTTCTTGTGTCTTTTACAGTCCCAGAATGAAGATGATATAAAGAGGCTTATGAAGAACAAGTGAGCTTGAGGTAAGATGCAGCTCAGCCAATCAGAGCATAGGATTCAAGTCTCTCCGAGAATGAGTTTGGCTCAGAGAGTCTATATCAGGTTTACCCTGGAGATCACATTACTACTACAAGATGAGCAACAGGTGATGTTTCTGTCTGTGCATTTGGCTGTGAGGAGCAGGAACAGAGATTTAGCAAAAGACAAGGTTCAGGCTGGCCAGATCTTATCAGGTCTCAGAAGCTAAGCAGGATTGGCCCCGGTTAGTCCTTGGATGGGAGACCACCAGGGAAGTCCAGGGTTGCTATGCAGAGGAAGGCAGTGGCAAACCACCTGTGTTAGTCTCTTGACTTGAAAACCCTATGGGGGGGTCTCCATAAATTGGCTGCAACTTGACAGCACTTTACAAACACATGATGCAGGGTAGATGTGATCCTCCAGGTCGGAAGGATGAGGGAGGAGGGCTAGTCTCCTGCCAGATGTGCTTCTTTTTGCCCCAACTTTAATTTAAAAGCAAAGGAGCTGGACCAAGGGAGACCTGAACAAGGATTGGAGGGCTAGCCTCACAGATCTGAGAAACAGGTTGACCGTTATGCACTCCTGGGAAGTGTGGAAGTACCCCATAAAGGTTAATTGTGCTGGGAAGAAATCAGACTGTGTAGCAGATTCCAGCTTGAGTAGGCACGGTGAAGGTCTAGAAAGAAAAAAAAGTGCTTCTGGCTCCACGGATTTTGCAGTGTGCATGTATGTGAATGATCCTATTACATGGGGATGAGTGGGTGCTTGGGAGAAAAGAAGTTAAAGCCCAATGCTTCGTAGTTGGTGAGTCACAGTCTGATAAGAGTCAGCCCCAAAATGAGGGAGGTGGGGATCTTTTCTGACTGGCTAGAATCAGCCCCTTCCTCTGACTCAGCATTCATCTCTCTTTCAGTGCTTCCTATTCAAGGCCAGCCAGACTCCTTATAAAACTTGTTTTTGGTCACCCTGCTATGGAGACCTGCTGCCTTATTTGCACACCCAACTTTGTGGTTCCCAGATGGAATCTGCAGCTTGGAGGAGATGCTGCCGCCACGTGTCTTCAAAACAGAAGCTTTGCAGAAGGCAGAACCTGCTCTTGGGTTAGCTATACAACAAGAACTGACCATGTCCCCCATGACACGGTGTCTGTCACGTACTCCTGTCTGGTCTTTGGCCTGGCAGTACAACCACTACCAGTCCCGAATAAAAGTGCAATTAGCCATGACAATAAAATAATTTAGTGGAAAACCTGGAAGGCCATTTTAAGTAATCACTGCTGACTGATCTACTCTACTCTTAACGTGGCTCCCTACACAGTATCATCTGCTTGTTGATGATGAATGACTCCCCTAGGGCTTGAGTGGCTGCATGTAGATACTGAACCCCACAAGTTAACTCCAGAGGTATAGAGCAGACGTCACACGGAATTATGCTCTGCTGGGAGGTGGGGGAAGGGAGAGGAACCATCACAAACAATGCAAACTTTCAGAAAGATTCAAGGACCAATGTTTGCAAAGGTCACAGAGAGGTGTTACAAACAAGGTTGTGTTTCCCCATCGGTCTCTAGATTAAGATTTTCAGTTAGGGCAAATAAAGAGATTTAGAGTTATGGAAGTTTGGTGGAGAATTGCACACGGGGAAAAACCCAAATCCAACAGATAAGCTTTTAGGGAGATTGCACAGGTAATAGCGGACAGCTTGAAAAACGAGGGTGAAATCAAATTTTGTGCCTGGTCATTTGGGACCCAAGAGGCATTAACTGGGATGATGGGAGTTGCTTGGCATTTATTGTCCTTGGTGTTAGCAGACTAAGAGTTCTTGTGGCTTGTGAGTTAAAGGCAGGGACTTAACAGCTTCCACTGTAGCCCTTTCCAGACAAGGTTGGGAACTCAGTGTGCAAGCTCTGTCCTCAACCTATGCACGCTCTTTTAAACCTATAATACAAGAATGTGTGTCCAGCACTATTTATGCAATTGTGAATCCCAGGTTGGGTGTGTGTGGTATTTGCCACCTGTCCCCCCCCCCTCAATGTGTATTCATTCTAGACTCTTCAAACATCTGCAGAGAGCTTGTGGCTCCTTACCATGCGTGTTGTTTTTGCATTTCAGAGGCTTTGATATTAAGCAGTGTTCAGAAAAGCAGCTCCATCATTTTTCTTTACTTTTCTTATTTGGCTCAGCTGCCTTTTGGGCAGTTTTACAGGTGACATTATGGATGCTGTTCAGTCTGGAATGTGCCTCTTGTGAACAATGGGAGACAGAAAGCAGGAGGGAGCCCTTCTGCAGTGGAATACACATTCTGATTCATATTGCTTTTTCATTTTGTTTGCAGACATTGGAAAAAAAGCAAAAACTAGTCTGAGTGATTAGTGAAAATGGCCTTTGGACACATTGCCAGGTTTTGCTTCCCAGCCCAAACAGCTCTGTGTTGTCACATCCTGTTACTAGCCATGCTGTGTTGATTTCCACCTGAGGAGCTTATCTGGACTCTTGGAGAGGCCTCTGAAACTATTCTTGGGATGTCCAAATGAGGCTTCTTGTGAATGGGGAGTTGAAATGTTCCCAACATGTGCATCACTGCAATAGCGGAACAAATAGAGTTGAATCTGACTCCGTGATGAGAAAAGGCTGGTCTGCCACTTCCATGTGGAAGGTGCATCATGTTTGATTCCACAGCCTGTCACATCCTCACAGCAATCACCCTCTGCAAGAGTGTGGCTTCTGCGTCATGTTGATCAGCAGGTGGCGCCATAGCACCAACTTCCATCTGGGGTTGGGGTTCTTCCTATCTGTCACCACTCTACACAGAAAAATGTGTTCAGTAGGTAAAACCTGCCACTATTCAGAAATTTGGGTGGTGGTTCTGGCTTAAAAATTAATGCTATTTATCTTTTGTGTCTGTTTGTTTCCCTGCCCCTGTTGGACCCTTGTGAGGTCATCACCACTCCTTTCATTTCACAAAAATGAGCAGCAGACTAAAGCCATAGGTGAAGGCCCTGACCTCCTTCCCCAAATAGAGTAGCAATCCCTCAGGAGTCACCTTCACGGGGCAAAGTCCAGGAAAATCTGGTAGAGTTTGCTGAGAACAACCTTTTATTTATGGGCAACCTAGCCCTGGGGTCTGTGAACACCTTCGCAAATCCAAACTGGTATTTTATTCTCAGCCAATAGGCCAAGCCTATGCATTGCACAAACAATGTTCATAGCCTAACTCAAGAGTTTCTGGGATACGAGGAAGAAAGCATACTCTCTAGGGTGGCTCCTTGATGGGGAAGGGCAGCCCCTTTCCTTTTCCCAGGCAAACACTGTGGGTGATACAGTGCTAAAATTACATCTATATTTGTTGTACAGAAATGGCATTGTGAGATAAGTGTAGTTACCAAAACAAAAATACCCAAGCCCTTTGTTGAGTCTAGGGATGTGCATTCAGTTCGTCCGAACCGAATGTGCCCCCGAAAATGGCCCATTTGGACCCCTTTCGGACTGCTGCAAGCCGATTCAGATTCTCTGATCTGAATCGACTTGCCCCCGAATTGCCGCCGAATTAAATTTTTTAAATAAAAAAGTAACTTTTCCCCCACCATAGAGAACAATGGAGGGGATGGGCAACCTGTTTGGGGGTCCGTAGAATTGGACCCTCTGGTCCAATGCTCTTGAAACTTGCTGGGTATCTTGGGGAGCGGATCCAGCAGCTACCCTGTGAATTTGGAGTCTCTCCCTCAAGCCCCCTCCCCTCCAGCCCCAGAATATACCCTATGTTTTCGCCATTGAAAGTCTTCAATGGCCCATAGGATATAATGGGGCTGAAATTGACATTCGGCTGGCAGAAAGACTCCCAAATCGGCTCCTACTGAGGAAACTGACATGCGGGAGTCTCACTGCCAGCCAAAATTGATTCTGCCCGATTCGGCCGAACCCAAATGGGCCGAATTATTATTATTATTTGGAGTCTCCATTTCCAGCTCAACTCCAAAAGGTAGAGGCAGAATGATGGCACCTATCAGTGAATTTACTTGGTCTTTTATATATTAAAAAAAGGAAAGGGTCTTATTGTAAAAATTATTTTTGAAGAGCTTTGTACAATATTTCCTTCTTCCCATTTGCACCTGAAAACTGAGTGAGAGCACTTTTTACAGGTAACTAACTTACCTGTATTAGTGGAAGATCTGGTAGATGCAAAGCCAGCCTGGAAAAAAGGAAGGTTTCAAAGGGCAAATGGTACTGTTCATCTGTATAAAAGTACTCACATTTTTTACAGGGGAAAAGGGGAGTGAAGAGTCGGGTAGGGAGAATGTTTCATCATTTTCCCACTCACTGTTTCTCTACTCCCAGTTGCCCCAGTAAAAGTGGCTTTTCCTGAAAAAATGGGGGGTGGAATAGGCCACTGTTACATGTGTTTGTACATACTGTGCAGTTTGGTCCTCAGCAGATAATTATAGAAGTAAATGTTAGAACAATAAAGACAATTTGTGGAGTTTTGATTTTGCAGGACATCACAGAAACTTGAAACCAATGGCTGGATTTTAGCAAGATTTGTGTTGGTAACATGATGGGTTTTTCATCCTCAGTCAACCACTGGACCATAACTGGTACATTTCCACAGATATCTTTGCAATCCTCTTTGGCAAGAAAGCCATTTTTGCTTCCTCCTGCTAGAGGCAATGCTGTGTTCCAGGGCCTTAACTAAGGCATGGTTGGTGGGCACTGGCTCACCACATGTAAGATTTTTTTTAGATAGGCTTTTAGATGTGTGATAAGAAAGCTTCTATAAAAGGCAGAGAGGTTGTTTTTATAATAGGAAAATAGCTGATTAAAAAGAATCTGTGATGGCTCCTTCCACACACACCCAGAATTTCCACTGGACAATGTTTCAATATCACACACTCATCAAGTAATCCTGGAAAATTCCCATCTAGATACTTTGACTGTGGGATTGGATTACCAGAGGGAAAGGTTAACTTGAAGAAGTTATTACTTAAGTCAGAATAATTCAATATAAGTGCATGAATGCTCCCAAACTTTAAAACCCTGTTTTTATTCAACTTATTCTTCCAACAATAGTTCATATACTCTAAAATACACATAGACCTATAGGCTTGGAGGAAGGGTTTTAGATGTTTCTGGGGGTTACGGCAAAATCACTGATTTTAACTCATTTCTCTCAAACTCAGTTTGGAAATATGTCAGCAAGAAAAACTGGCTACGACCAGCTCGTTCTCTCTTCCCAGCAGCAAATATAATTATTTATTTAGATTAGAATATTTTTATGCTGCCTCTTCAGAATCCTTCCTTTCAAGGTGAGTACAAATGGGAGGAGGGATTTCTACCACACATGTGGTATCTTCATCAATATATCTAATTCTCAACATGGCCAAATCTCTAGATACTTAAATTTGAGCCCCCCCAAGTTTGCAAAAGAGTTGGAAAGCTGGAGGAAAATGTGTGTGTGTGTGTGTGTGTGTGTGAAATCACCCCAAACAGAGGAGCATTTGCATGTGAGCATACAACATACCTCTGTGGGTCCTTGGAGCTGCTTCCACTGCCTCCCTCTCTCCTCTTTTCCTTTTCTGAAGAGGTTAACAAAGCCTCTCTCCACTAGGCTGAGAGCCAAGGATCTGCTGAGTTTGGCAAAGAGGCAGCTTTACTGATTCTCCATCCTCCTTCTCCCCTGGTGGGCCCATGTCTGAGCAACCTGCAGACTGAGCTAAAACGCTTGGCATGGGGCAAAGGATGGGATGATGTAGGATGGGCAAGGAGAGGCTCTTGCCTGTGTGGGGCTTGTGGTGAGGAGAGGGGTGGGTTGACAGGCCGAGAGCAGTGAAGGGGGGTGTGGGTAGGCAGAGAAGAGAGGGGTGGATGGCTAAGCAGCAAAGGGGAGGGTGGGCAGGCAGAGCTGCAAAGAGAGGGGCGAGTGGGCTGGCCAAGTGGGAAGGGGTGGAGAGGTAAGGAGGGCAAGGGGGAGGTGGGGAC